GTGACAAAATTCGAAGATAGTGTTACTAAGTTAGCGATTTCAGCAGCGGCTTCGTGAACAACAACGAGAGAACGCAACGAATCGAGAAAGAGAGCAGTGGCTAAGAGAATTGGATGTTGGTCACATTAATAAACAACATATTCAGCACTTTCTACAACACAAAAAACAACAAGCAACACTTCAGGTACGCGAAATGTGCACATGCCCTTTATTTTATTTTTTTAATAATTTGTAGAGCCTGTTTCCGAATTTAAGTTCCCATTAAAAAAATAAATGGTTGATAGTCCACGTGGACCTGAATTCATAGCAGTTGTTAGGGTGGCTTAATATTGAGGTCTTCAACGTAAGCTAGGCATATTTATGATTGGTAGATTCGCGTGATTACGAATCGTAGGCACGTTACCCACATGTCGCCCACAATGACCAACCGCGTTTAGCTCCTTGAAACAGCGATATAGCTACCTTTTGGAAAAAATTCTTATACAAACTGAATTCCCTTTTTTGAGAGCTTGGAGGTTGAAAAGTTTTTTTTAATCATGGCCTCTATCAGTAGATTTTACATATTTCGCACTGAGTGACAGTGCACATGGTGTTTCCGCATAAAACTGTTCTCAAAATGTTTCTCGATAAGAGAAGCAAGTTTTGGTTATATCCCCGCTTTCATCAGGAGATGAAGCTGTCCCTCGTCATTGGCAAGCTCAAGGGGTTACTTAGTATTTGCTTCCATTCAAAGACACGGGTTGGTATAAGCGGTTAAAGAAACCCTATCCATCACTACTGCGGCTAGGATTGCTACCAGAGAGGTGGCGTCATGCTCCTGATTCGAGACGGCATGGCAATAACGCCCCCAGCCTAGTATTTAAAGCGATGGTCCCTTGGTATTGTCTATGACCGCATACCGCGAAGATGGCTGGCCTAGGGCGAGAAATCAGCTGGGTTGATTATCGTGTTAACGCTGGCACAGAGCCAGCAATGTCTGGAACTTCGAGAAACTCGTTCGAACACGCCATCCTCCCATGCCCAGCCTCCTTTGCTGCTACTGGAGAGGGTGGTTTTATTTCCGACCTTGCTTATGGTTTTTTTGCGTTTTCTCTTCATTTATGGTTTATATTACATCTCTACATTCATTTTCAAGAGCAGAAGCACCCCAAATCAATCCCGACCTTTGCCTTGGAGCAGCTGTGTAGCAGACAGTGTTGTTGTAGTTCATGATCTGTTTCTCAAGAGTCGACTCGGCTAGACAAGCTGTCC